AAATTGTAAGTAAATTTAGTTTGGTAGGTAAATTAAGGTTCACATAGGTATAGTTTGAAGTTTTTACTATGATATTTTGATAAGTATTTTAAGTTGTCATATCAACCCAATGGCTAACCAAATACGGATTTTTCACTTTCATATTAGCAAAATGACGTCAAAGAGTCAATATAAAAAAATTTGGATGAGTTTGCGCCATACCATTATGACGACGAGAATCATATTGACTTGCTGACACCATTGATATGAAGCAACAACGGCTGCCGAAAGAATTGGTTTTTTCTTAATACAAATAAAATAGAAATGTTTCTTTTAAATTTTTTAAATAAATAAAACAATTATTGAATTCGGTTTTCGCACAATATGAAGAATTATTAAGCCCTCAGTTTGCCGTTATCAACCTCAGCCTTTGGCTTCGGTTGATAACGGCAAACTTCAGGCTTGATAATTCTTCTTATTTTTCACCCTGCTCGGTTTCCTTTGTTCTTATCGGGGAATATATTCAATATTCCACTCTAATCAATTTCCGTTTAATAATCCCCTGTAATATTCACCTGCAATTTCTTTGCAGCACAAAAAATGAGAAAAAACAACATAACGAAGGCAATATGGCATTAAGAATTATTTCTACTCTGTCTCATGAACGCAACCTCGCAATGTGAAAAATAAGTATGTTATTTTGAGACAACGAGGGGATATGTGTTTATTCACCTCGGCGCTGTGTGTCTCGGTGAATAAATCACATATCCCCCTTGTTGCCTCAAAATAACCTATACATATTGTGCTCAACCTCATTCAATAATTGTTAAATAATCCTACCGGCCTACATTCATATATTCATCTGGCTGTGTCACTACATTTCAGAGTATAATTATATTTTTCAATAATGCTCACAATTTCTTTCTTTATCATATTAATATAGTTTTGCAGTTCTAACTGAGTTAATTACAATGAATGGTGTCATTTGAATCTGACATATTAAACGGAAACGTCATCAAATAGATCTTGTCTCCCCATCAGCAGATTGTTCGGCTGTTCTGTGATATGGATAGAGTTGAAGGTGGCATTAAAAACAATAATTGAAACAAAACCCGACTTAGTACTTTTATATAAACGTTGTACAGCAGCCTTGTCCCTAGGCCTCTAGTCAAAAGCATGCACAGAGGACTAGGGACTAGTCTGGTTGTACAGTATTCCGTGGCAAGCTAGCCATGGCAACTGGTCATATATGCATATTACACCCGAGGATTTAAACCAAAGTAGAATCCATCTAAATAAAGTGGGAACAATCAAGATGGCACGCAATTTTACTGATTTTATTTATAATAGGAAACATTACGACAACGCCGTGTGGGAGCCTGTAGCTAATACTGAAATAGATGACCAATCGTCGATAACCTTGGGTGAGTCAAACTAATCAAATTATCCAAATATCTCATTATATAATTTAGAAAAAATACCATTTCATCGGGGCATGTCTATGGCATGTTTGAATATAAATAGTTTATTTGCCCATATAGATGAATTACGAGTATTTATGAGTAATAATAAAGTAGACATATTATGTATTAATGAGACCAAACTTGATTCATCAATTAATGACAATGAAGTCCATATACCAAATTTTGAAATCATTCGAAGAGATCGACATACAAATGGCCGTCACGGTGGTGGCATTTGCATTTACATTAGAAGTAATATTAATTACAAAATACAACATAATCTACAATCTGAAACTCTTGAAAATCTAGTTGTAGAAATTAAGAAACCACAATCTAAATCTATCCTAGTTAGTACATGGTATAGACCTCCTGATTATTATTATTTTCACATCTTTTAACATGGTGTCTAATCAACCCAACTATATATATATATATATATATATATATATATATATATACAAATTAAAATGGTTGCTTCTCATTAGGCCGTGTGTCAATAAGTATATGATTATTCACAATATTAAAAAGAAAATAAACAAAAATACAGAGATAGAGATATAACATTCACTCTACTTTATTCCTTTCATTTCAAATTTTAGCAGCAGCATATCCAAAGGTGCGAACCATAGAATATGTTTTCGGTTTTGGCAGTGCTAAAAATTTATTGCTTCCTAAATCATATATTTCAGAATTTGATATTTTAGACTTTTCAGCTATATTTTTCGGGCAATTTCCGGTAATAGCTTTTGAAACATATGCACTTGCTTTTTCTTTTCTTGTTACGGACAGATTTTTCCAATTCAACTTTTTTAAAATATCTTTTGAACATATATCATAAGTATCACCAGTAATGACCCTTGCTGCCCTGTTTTGAAGTTTCTGCAGTTTTTCCTTCAGGGATTTGCCGCAGTTGCCCCAAACCAAGGAGCAATACTCAAAATAAGGTTGAACCATAGAACTATAAAGAAATTGAAGCATTTCTCTTTTAACAAACTGTTCAGCTCGTCGTAACATGCCGATGCCTTGAAATACTTTTGTTACTTATGTCGTCTATTTGTTCATCCCAGCATAATTGATCATCTATTATTATGCCTAAGACTTTTTTAGAAACGACTTGTGTTAAGTTTTTCCCACCAATGTTAATATTCATTTCACTTGAGAAATCTTTTAATTTCTGCCGTGTTCCGATAATCATATACTCTGTTTTACCAACATTCAAAGTTAATTTATTGGCTACTATCCATTGATGGATATTGTTCAAGTCCGAATTTAAAATGGCTTGTAAATTGTTAATATCATCAGAACACGCTGTCAAATTCGTATCACTAGAGTGTCTTAGACAGTTCGGGAGATTGTTGACATACAACAGAAATAACAATGGACCGAGATTTGAACCCTGTGGAACTCCACAGCATATATTTTTTGTTGACGATGTTGCACTTCCCACCTTCCAAAACTGTTTTCGATCAAATAAATATGAAATAAACCACTTGAGGGCAGTATTTTGAACCCCATAAATTTTTAACTTCTTAATGAGGATTTCATGACCAACCGTATCAAATGCTTTACGCAAGAAATACAACTCCGTTTACAAGCCCAGCAAATTCAAATATTCCAGAAGCTTCATGCGTCATGTAACTTTCAAAACCCTGGCTACTTATGCTTGTTATTTGGTTTGATAAGGTTGGACAAATATTAGAAAAATACTCATTAAGCAGTTTGGCCATTGTCTGGCTCTCAACAACATCTCCCTCATCCGTTTTAATGGCTTGTACACCAGTACATTTAGACTTTCTATTTAGCAGACAATTTAAGTGTTTCCACATAAGTTTAGGGTTTCCCATGTTTCCCTCAATTGATTTTTTACATGTTTCCCTTTAGCACAAATGACATCTTTGTTTATCTTAGTACGTAGAGCCTTATAAGCATTATGATACCACAAATAATTATTTTTTACCGCTTTTTTCTTAAGATAGTCTCTACGATTCCTATCAAGTTTTATTGTATCAGTAAGCCACGGCGTCTTATGACTCCTCACTCTCTTGCTCCGTAAAGGAGCATGGGTATCAGAGACATAATTGAAAGTTTTCTCAAAATTATTCCAAAGTATATTTGGTTTCCCAGTTTAAAAGGGTTAGATGAGGAAAAAGATCATCATTGGAATGTTGTTGATTAAAATTTCGATAATTCCGTACATTCACGGTTTTTATCTCTTTTTTAACAAAAGATATTTTTCTGCAAACATAATTTAAACTGTGGTCACTTATTCCTATATGCAAAACCCTCGATCTGCAGATATTATCTGGTTTGCTTACAATGGCCACATCAAGAAGAGTAGCTGTGGTATCTGTGATATGTGTTGGTTCTTTAATCAACTGAGTTAATTGGAATACATTTATTAAGTCGATCAGCCTTTTCGTCTGGTTGTTAGCAGCATTTTTTATGAAGTCACAGTTTAAGTCACCTCAAGTATCAGCTCTTTTCTTTCGTTGTCTAAATTTTGAAATAATGTTTTAGATCATATACAGCCCGCTGTTTCCTTGCTAAAACCACTGTATATAACAAAAGTAAATTATTTCCAGAGATGTGTTGTCGCTGATTGACTTGTTTCCAGCCAATGCCAACCTGACGAAGCTTCACTTGAAGTTGAATTACAAGTTTTCCGGAATCACTGTTTGGCATCAAAACAAGGCATGGCTACCATTAACGATGCTTTGAATTATTGTTCGAAATTCAAAGAACTGTTTCCACTCACATTGCGGTGCTAATTGAAACTTGTTCTCACAGTCCTGTAACAATGGGCTTCAAGTGAGCGAAGCTTCTCAAAGCTCAAATTAATTAAAACTCTCATCCATAGCTGCCTCGTCCCCAGGCACTAATAAAAAAATTTCATGCGAGGGAAAGGCTTACATGAAGCAGTGTGTCACATTATAGGCGCACAAAGGGGAGTGGGATATGAGCCCATAATTCCCTGCGATTGTTCGTTGTGACGCACTACTTCATGTAAACCTTTCATATAGTGACTCGCATGAAATTTTTTATTAGCGCCTGGGGACGAGGCAGTCAGCTAAGGATATTGTTGTTGTAGTTGTTGCATATATTAAAATAACAAGAATTGAAAAATGACCACGTTACTATTTATTCTATAAGATTGTAATAATATGTAGTTTGCACGAGCCGCGAAGTCGGTCCCTGGTGAAAAAAATCGGTCCTTTGCGCCCCTGGCTGTATTCATAATCTTGTCCAGTAGATTTATCATCGATAATTAGAGAAAATGCTAATATCAATGAGTCTCTTTCCTGTGTGATATCAGCCAATTGTTTTGTCAGAGTCAATTGTTCGTACTGTGCCTTTGTTATTTGTTCCTCTAGAGACGAGATGACTTGCTCTTTTTGTTCAAGTTTTTTATTGTGCAACTTCGTTAATGACGTAATTTTGCTCTGTAATTCTTGAATAGTTTGTTCATGATGGGCAATCTCCTGCCAAGACTCGTCTTCGCTTGGGTTTTCCTATGGCTTTTCGTTTGTTGCATTATTCGATATTGTTTCCAATTTTGCATTAATCCTTTTTTTTCATTTTAACCATGTCAAGCTTTACATGTTCAACATCCACCATGAGTTCTCGGAAGGAACAAGACACTGGCTCCTTTGGCAGTGATTCTCCTGTGTGTTTGAAATTCAAGGTTTCGACTTCAGAGGCGCCATCTTTGTGTTTGGCGAGGTTTTCAGCATCTTCGATCGCTTTTGTAATCGCCTCTTTTAGTTTAACTGCCAAATCTTCGGCGAGTTCCCCTTGAAAAGGTAATGTGGATTGCTTCATAAAATACCACGTTACTTGAAACTGGCCACATTGCGATTTAAAGCGACTTGAGCCACCACCAGGCAAAGACATTTGCCTTTGACACCAACTATTTCTTCGATGAAATGCTTTAATCGCTCAAGATCATTTGTCCATTTAAGCTTGTTTCCATTCAGTGCAAGATTTTCAAGTACACAAGGCGTTATTCTATCAATATTTACTTTTATTTCATCACTATTGCCTGAGAAAATAGCCATAGCTGTAGATTGCTTGAAACAATTTTTACAATAGCGGAGCTCAAAACACAGGTCCTTTCTCCAAAAGTAATTATAAATTAATAATGAAATTAAAAAAAAACTAAACAAGCTTATTATAAGAAAATCTTGAATCGAATAAAGGCAACATGAAAAAAACATGGAACCTTATAAATGAACTAAGCTCTAGAAATGTAAGTAAAACTAAAAAGATAACACAATTAGATTTTGAAGAGCGAGAAATAGCTGAAACATTTAACAGCTACTTCTCAGGTATTAGTGAAAAACTTGCTTCCGATATTCCTGCTCCTGTGCGTGATCCAGTATTTTATCTTAAACCAACTGATAAATCTTTCTCTCTCAAAACTCCCTCCGTTAACACAGTTTATCAACTGCTGACTACATTAGACGATAAGAAGTCAGCTGGTTTGGACAATATACCAACCAGATGGAAACAATGGCAGGATCACTTGATGTTAATTTGCATGCTTCAAGTTAGATTTAAAATTAGCAATATTTGTTGATGCTTTTATCGACGCAGGAAGGCAGTTCCAGACTTCCGCACCTCTGTAGGAGAATGCATTTTTCATACTATTTGTTTTTGGTTTAGGCAATGTCAAATCGGCTCCCGACTGTCTTGTGTTATGGTTGTGTACATCACCAACATTTGTGAACATATCACACAAGTAATCGGGGACCAATTTGTTTTTCATCTTGTACATGAGAATTGAAAGTTGTTGCATTCTTCTTTTTTCGAGGTTCGGAACTTTTAGCTTGTTTAATATATCAGCCGATCGTGTCATATAATTCTCATGAGTGATTATTCGAAACGCTCTGTTTTGTAATTTTTGGACTTCAGCTGCTAATGTTTTCCCTAAGCAACCCCACACTTGAGCACAATAATCGAAATAAGGTTGAATTATGGATTTGTATATTGTTATTAAGGTATTGAATTCGACTGTATCCCAGAGTCGTCTGAGAGAAGCAAGGCCTGAAGTGACCTTTTTTGAAATGTGTTCGACCTGCGCGGTCCAGTCTAAAGACTCGTCTATCATTAGGCCCAATGATTTTGTATTTCAACTCTCTTAATTTCTAAGTTACCTAC